TTATTTAAGCCTTGGGACAGAGGTATAAAGGAGGAAGTGAATCACACATTATGGCCGACAGTTCATTACTAACACACCAGCTACAAATACTACAGCTAAATATAACAATGTCACGCCCTTACAAACACTGCTCGTGTACGAGGCTTTTCTGCGAACTCAACTATGCTGTTCTTACTATTCTCAGAAAATACAGGTACACAGCTTACAAGGGGTTCGTTTGGTGGATATGGGGAAGACTGGGCAAGTCCTGCCGCGTCAGTGCTGTGTGGAGGCTAGATGGAGAGGAATTTCTTTTAGCTACATACACTGGCTTCCATTACTGATTGTGGAAGCGGGTCCTCTGGGCCAAGACTGCAGCTTCCTTGTTTGGCCTCTGGGCAACACTGCACAAAGAGGGCCTACGTGGGCGGGGCCCATGCATTGGCAGCTGCTGCCTCCCGGTATGTCCTGGAAGCTTCCGCCAAATCCAAGCAGCAGTGGAGCAGCCTCTGGACATAGTCTAAACAAAGAACCGGGATCTTCAAGCTGCAGCCAATGTCTCAACAGATGTGTTTGCATTTACCGTATGACGCAGTCTCCATGATTCGCTGGACGGACCATTCACCCTTCCGAGACTGGGTATCTGAGTGCAAACCGTTTCTTGTTGTCCTTAATGGTCGCCTGCTTCCGGTCGGAATTGTGTTTATAATGCATGACAGCAATGGCAGTCCTGCGAAAGTAAAAAAAAGATGGGAGCTAGTAAAAGCTATATATTAACATAACTGTAGCATATTTCACAATTATAGAAAGAGTACAAATGAGCACTGTTCTGTCAAATTTCACAATCCCAGCCTACCGTGCCTCCATGCCCTCAAACCAGGAGTGTGTCGGTTTGGGGTGAACCTGATCAGCAGGCTGTGGAACGACTCCAGTCGGTACATTTGGCCATCTCCAGACAGTCTTGGGACATCTTTCAAAAGCTGTGCTGACGTGAGGATCTTTTGCAATGCCATATATGACTCTGTTCCTGTAATTAGAAGCAGCACCATATTAACTGGTGACAATGTACACAGCGTGACACTTTTCGCACAAACAAGTGATTCTTCATGTTTTTCTCAAAGAATTCGATTGCTGTCATCAAAGCAATTAGTGGTGGAGAATGCTCATTTGGGGCTCCAACCTAAGTGTTCCAATTTCGTGTTCATCAATGCTTTGTTTTAGCAAATTGATAAAAAATGCCGATCTCATGTTCGCACTAACAGTGTAGCACTGTGTATGTTGTGGAATTCCCCTTGTGTCGCAGCAGTTCCTTTCTTCCTGCTGTTTTACGTCTGCAAGTGACGTTGCAAGTTATTCTGTAATTTCACCTTTGTGAGCCATCAAGGCCCTGCAAAGAGATATGATTTTTACAATGGATGATATAAAGGTTGAAATTACGATATGAGTGCTCCTAACAGCAATTCGTTTTACCTTCCTGAGGCCATCTGTGGTGTTCAATCGAGGCATGCGTGCATGCAGGGTACAGGGAGTTGGGGTGCTCGTGCACATTGATTATGTGTCTCATGACTGACATTCATTTTGCTAGGACCAGTGCACCACAGTCATCACTTGTCTGGGCACACCAGTAGACATGTGCCTGCACTGTCTTCACCCAGGCATTTAGGGTGTTGTTGCGCTTAGTCTTCCCAGCAATGGCCATCTTGCTCCAGATGCCTAGAAATAAGAAAATGTGCATGCATGGCCACCAAGAACCTATAAAAGATTCTGTAAAAACACATTTAATATTCTTACAGGACCATGCTAGAATAATGCCTCACAAATCATAATAATAAAGCTTGTCGTGCTATATTTACAATAACGGATTCTCAGGTGTGTGACTAGGGGCACGGCCCCTCGATCACTCTGTCGCTCTCCGCTTGGTACAGCCTGACGCGTGGCTCTCCCTCCCGGTGGGAACGAAAGTGCGAAAAGCGGCTGCGGTGATGAGAGTGGCGCTACCGAGCGCTGACGGTCAGCAGATCGTCCGATGGAGAGCGGGCCTGCGTACCGGGTGATACGCGGGGCGAGGGGCTTAGTTGGCTTTGCTACGTAAATGTTAGTTTTTTTTAAAATAAAACTGCAAGCTAATTGGCTCATCCGCGTATCATATATCCAGTCGAGTTTACGAGAAATTAGGCTTCACAGCTTCTGAAAAACTGCTTGGCTGTCAAGGGTTGACTTCACGCTTTAGACAATTTCTATAGAAGCGGGCATGTTATAACATCTTCATTCGTAGAATTAATGCTGTACGGTGCACATTGAAGAACTCAACTCAGTAATAACACTACATCTCTAAGTTGTCTTTCTTTATGGTGGATACAAGACAACTTCAACGCAGCCTGACCTTGCACTCTATAAACATTTGCGCAACCTCATTTTAGCTTTCAAGCTGGAGATCTTTTGTGACTTCAAATAAGCAGAGCTTTTTTTTTTGTAGTGCTCTTATGCATGCAATTGCGTGCCCTGATTATGACGCAATGACATATAGTCTCCATAGTTTGTTTTTACTTACAAATAAAACATTGAGTATATAAGTAACAAGAAAGAAAGAAATGTTTAGAAAGGCGGCACATCTTCCTCAAAACCGTAGACACTTTCTGGATAGTGGCTTATGTACATAATGTAGTGCCCTCTCCACCGACATGGTTAGGTTGACTGCCCAGTTGGCAAGAAGAGGGCGCAAAAGCTTCCGCAAAAAAAATTGAGCAGAGCTCATTACAGTGTTCATTTCTGATTTGGTGATCGCTGCACCACATAACCCGGCAATCTTGCAGATACGGGAGCACAGTGCCGTAGAGCAGCTTAGATATGTGTCTTGAACGCCTCACTTCTGTGGTCTTAAGTGCCGATTCAACGAAAGTGCAGACGGTGCTGCACACCGACGTCTCGTCTTCTGTTGGGTAGTTGAGGCCTCCAGAATCTAGGTCAGCCATGTACTTGTACGCACTGCAATTTGTGCGTGGTGCTTCCAGCAGTGTCTTGCAACTCGGACATGAGACCTGTGAGACAATGTGCAGTGCGTATATCTTGTGAGGCGAAAAGATAGAATGGAAACAAAGAAGCCTTACGGATGCTTGCTAAAAACCTTACCTTCTCTTTTTCATGCATGTACGAAGTAGCCCGTCAATTACACAATGGCCGGCTGCTGAAGCGGTAGTGGCGATGATCCAAATGATGAGGAAAGGCACAACCCTTCCAGCAAGTCCAGGTCTTTCCCTTGAACACGAGGCATCACTTTATTGTCAGTGCGGCGTGGAAACGATGGCGAGAGAGAAGCCCGGCTCTCGAAGCTCTCCGGTGCACACCCATCTTTGTTTGCAGCCAGGATTCCAACCTAAAATGAGAGATGTCTGGTTCTTAACCTTACATAATTGTGCTCCCTAAAATTGCTGGAAAAACCAACTAACCTTTAGTAGCTTCTTGGCGGTAAGTACCACACTCCTGGCATCTATGCGGTCATTCCCTCCGCTGAACTGACGAAAACAGCTGAAGACTGATTCCACTGGATCACTGTTCATTGCCCTTGTAAGCACATATCTGAAGCTGAAAAGGCAAGCATGTTTGTTAAAAGGCTTAGGCTCTACGATTAAACTGGACCCTTATGTGGCGCTTTTTGGACTCCCACGGGGACTAGGGAGAGGGAAGTTATGTCAACAACGCAGACAACGCAGATTGAATGTTGATTGGTGAGAGTCGCTGATGACGACTTTCTGCAGAAGAAAATGAAGTTCACTTTTCCTTTGTTTTCTTCTGCGGATATCGTCATCAGGGACCCTCACCAATCAACATCCAATCTGCGTTTGTTGTGTTGTTGATGTCAATTCCCTCTTCCCAGTCGCAGTGGGAGTCCAAAAAGCGCAACATAGGGCCCCTAATGTTCATCCCTAAAATATAAACAATGCCACAGATGTGGAAGGCTTACCCTGCGTCATCCAGCAAGTACCCAACTACACCAAAACTTGACCTGGTTGTGATCAGCGTTGCTTCGTATGTTTCCTTTGTCAGGAATTGGTGCTTTCTCTCACGGCATGTGATCTTCAGCTCCTCCAAATAACAAAGTCTACCTTGAAAAACAGCAGCCTTCAAGTGGCACTCTGGGTTTAGCCTCAGATAGTCCGGAGTATTTACCACCTCCAAGGAGAACACATGCTTGGCTCTGCTTACCTTCATCTTCTCTAAGTTGGTGGGGTCGACATGACTGCGAGTTAAAAAGTGAACAGGCTTTACCAGCAAGTCTTTTTGTGCATCGAACAATTCGTGCAATAAGCGACCACCACAAATCGTTTCTTCGCCATCCGACACCTCCCTCTCAAGCAAGTTGTTGCGCAGGTTTTTGATTAATGGTTCGGATTGAATGAAAGAAACAGGAGATCATTTTCGCGGAGAGGGTGGCGAACGACATGCTGGAGAATGCCATCTTCAGAAAAGTCTCGGAACATATCAATATTTGCTTGGTGGTTATCTGTCACGAGCCTTACCACATGAAAACCACAGCTTTCAACAACCTCCATCACAGCAAGTGTCATCGATTGAAGCTCTGCGTGCTTCATCCTTCGTGTAAAAAAGTATGCTACAGGAATCACGTAAGAGGTAGCCAAGCCTCTTAAAACAAAACAAAGCAGCCGGTTTGCAACCTGGGGTGGACCTGAATCTGAAGTGGCATTGCCCATATCCACAAACCCGAAGATACGGTCAACTTGCCTGTCATACACAGTCTTTTCTTTAATTGACATCTCATCAATGATCAGAGAGCAGTAAGTTTCCTGTTGTACTTTTAGTCCAGCCCGCTCCACTTTCAAGCGCTCCAAAATAAGGCTTGTGATGCCAATCTCACCGTCAAATGACCCAACATCTGCAGTGTAGTGCGGCAGGGTAGGTTCAGCAAGCTTCTTTCCCTTACGTGGTTGTATCCTTTGCTCGAGCAAGCTTTCCATAAAACACAATCTCTCAGTATGCCATCACTCCAGGATGGACGCTTCTTCTCAAAGTTTGAGTTGCTGCTTCAGAAACATTGCGCACCTGTCGTCCTGGGCTGCTTGCTCAACATTCAAAATGCACTGAGCAAGTATGTTGTCTTTGAATTCTTTTAGCCGCGCACGAACATTGTTGTTGGCTGTTCGGAGGAAAGCGAGTTTATCGCCGAGGCGCTTTGCTTGCATTTGGAGTCGCTTTTCTAGCTTTTTGTTGTGATCCATCAAGGCCTTAAGGTTAAACACGGTCTGACATTCTTTTGCCTCGAGCCTTGGTTTACATATGTCAGCTTGCTCACTCCGTCCATCTTCACCGACTTGCTGCGAAGTTTCAGTGGTGTTGTCATCTCCAACATCTGCAAACGTGTCCTCGGTTTCTGTTGGTGATTCCGGATGCGCTGAAGTGGAAGTGCTCGGTGTTTTACAGGATTCACGTTCAAGTCGTCTTCGTTTTGAGGCGGGAGCCGGCTGCAGGTAAGATGGGTACTCTAAAAACACTGACGGTACAGCTTCTGACAGAAGCATCCTCCTTTTTGCTCCTTGCTTGAAATCTTGTTTGGTGAAATGAAGTGAACAGATGACCGCTCGAGAAGAAGAAACCCATTCTGTACCTTTTGAAGTTCCTTGTCTCAAACTTTTCTTCAGCCACGCGGCCCGCAGTTCAGGCTTGGAAGGGATTTCATGAAATGAGACGACTGCATTATTACGCTCCGTCACAGTACACAGAGGAACGGAGCAGTTTTTGGGCACAATTAAGGGCCTTACGTGTCACTGGCGCATGTGCAATAAAACGAGGAAAACATCAGCGAACAAAACACGTTACAAAATGACGTGACCATTCGGTTCAAAGTCGAAAAATGCCGGAGACGCGACGCTAACTGCGCTACCGCCTCCGACGCCTTTCCTCCTCGAGATGAAAGGCGTGAGGTGTCCGCGTCGCGCAGCGCACCTAGCGGTGGCGTCTTCAAGTCAACCGAGAACGCAGTTGCCGGTGCTTTTGCGAGGATGCGTCAAGCCGTACCAAGTGGAGAGCGACGGAGCGATCGAGGGGCCGTGCTAGGGGACTCCTAAAACAGACACGGTAAAGATGTGTCAGGAAAAGTCACTGTCATTTTATCCTTGTGCCCACTTTTCTTAAATTCCACACTACATTTTGCTCTTGTATAAAATGCCTATTAAAAACCACAATATGCTGTTTACTAGAAAGTGGTTTCATCCTTGGTTCTACTCTGAAGTGACGAGTGTTAGAATTAATTTTTTCAAATAAGGTTACCTTTGGCGACATGCCATGCGTCAAACCGGTGTCTGGTGTCGGGATATTCTTTCTTCAGAAGTGCATTCACCCCGATATGCCGGTCTATCACAAGCACATCTAGACGCAGTTTTCGGCCAAGGAGGAAGTCCAACGAGCGCTTGAGGCCCTCTTTTTTTATATGGTTACTGGATTTTACTTCTGTTGACAGGTATAGAAAAAAAGGTACAAAAGTTTTTACCTCAATCAACCAATGCAGTGATCGCAAGAACATTTTTTATTTAGCAAATTCTTACCTGGACAATCTCAAAATGCAAGATCTTGTTCGCATTAGTGTCTAACAGAGCAAGTTCCATACTTGGCCGAGAAGCCAGGCGACTCGGCGCAGCCATCGCCTGCCAGGTGGAGTCTCCTGCCATGCATTGCTGCCAGCAGTGTGGTCTGCTCTGCTTTCCAGGCCTTTGAAATGGTAGCACCTAATGTCAGTCTCAACCAGATAAAATGGTCACCTAGCCAACACTTTCATATGCAGTGTACCTTTGTTGCAACAGGAAAAACCAGACAGCCCTGGACTTTGTAGAACTGTGATTTCCTTAGGATAGCAACGCCTATTGAGCTCAACAGTCGAAGAACTCTTGTAGGACTGGCCCCAGAAGATGTAAAGTGGCCGGCAGGAGAATGTTGAAGAGAGCCTTGCCATTTACCGTTGCCTGATTCTGCCACACACTCTTGTGGCCTCGAACACATGTGATTACGGTGTGAACAAAGGTCCCCCTTCCTTGATCGGGTTCGCTTTCACTGAAGAGGTATCCCAGAGTCCTTCCCTGTCAAACGCAGAAGAGAAAATCAAACCACAAAGCGTTGGTCCAAATCTAGTACATTTCACAAGCTATTCTGTCCCGTTAAAAGTTGTGTGACTTGGTTGTGCATAGCCATGAAGAAGGAAACAGTGCTCGGTCTGTGTGTTCCTCGTTCCTTGTCCTCCATACCCTTGGTGCAGTTTCCTTCATAACTATTCTGTCTCTTAATTTCCCGTTTCATCATGTTCTTTTAGGTGCATTACACATGCAATTCAACAAGACATTACACACACAATGTCTTGTATGAATTACATTATTTTCCCACTCCTATGCGGGTCTTCATGTGCCTACAGTATGAATAAATAAATAAATAGAACATATTTAGTCCTATTCATAGCGTAATGATTTCTGGGAAGATGCAGAGGGCACTTGTATGTTACAGAGGTCGCAGGGTCATTAGAGCAAGCACTGGTGTCCGATGAATCGGGCTCATCATCGGAGTTGACGGAATTATTTGGCATGTAGCTTCTGTCCAAGACGTCTGGCTCGTTGGACATATCTTCGGACTCACTAGAGTTCCTTGTGCTCCATACCCTTGTCGCTGGTGTCTGAAGAATTAGCCTCAGGCTCCACACGTCCAGGATTAATGTCCAAGTCTAATACAAAGGGCCTAGGATTCAGTCACTTCCAAGTGAGAAACACAACTGTTGCAAGTGTTCTTCCTTTGTTGACATCTCTTCAACTCCTTGTGGACATCTAGGCACACTTGTTTCATCCTCCAGGGGGCTTTGGCCTGCTATAGGCAAAACAAACTGATCATGAGGAATGAACATCATGATGCAACAAGCTTTCAACAAAAATGTATTGCATTAGAAGCTCAGCCATAAACTTTTCGTAAAAGCAACAATATTTTTAAGCCACCACATCCACCTACCTGGCTGTTTTGCTTGCACAGCTTTGCTGACGCCCCAACGTTGAGAATGAGATACCTCCTCCTCGCTTCGGTTCGCCACCTCGAGGGGATGAAGCGAAGAACAGAGGGTATGAGAATTGGAATGGGACAGGCCTCGTCTGCCTCATTCAGTCGCTTCCTTCTTTTTAAAAAAATACGGCCATCCATTGTAGATATTGCTGTGTGAGCAATGTTATGGGAATCGTAGCATCCCGCCTACTGTACCTGCCTTGCTTTATGATGTCCAAATTTCGGTCCAGCATCCCTTCAAGCACATCTGTCGTAAAAAAGTTCCAGACAGAGCAAACTTGATTCATTCTACACAGACAACGTGTGGGAGCACTTTACTTCTCAAAGAAATAGGAAGCTCTTTCAACCACATTCTGGAAGTAGTCCTCGTCAAATACTTCTTTGATGCAGAGATTGTCGTCCGCACTTTTGTAGACAAACAAGTGCCGTGCCTGACCCCTGTGAGACCCATCTGCATTTGCACCTGGCGGAAAAGGTTGTTGTGTGCTTCAGTTTCTGACCTGGAACATTCTCTTTGGTTTTCTCCATATTTTCCTGCAGGACCTTTTTCATGGTTTCGGGGCATTTAACCTGAAGGACGCATTTCGGGCAGCACTATCACTCCACCGGAAAATCTAGGCTGGCACCAATGTCGGGTTGTCCCTCCATAACGTACAGGCCACACCCTCTCACCAATAAATTCCTGTGCCCTGCATATTTGGTTTTGTAGCACTCTTTCGCAGTGCCTTCCATTTCACTGCCACGATGCATTGAGGGCATTCAAACATTTGTTCGCCGCATAATCTGGTGACGGCACAATGGCGTCAATTTGCCACATGTCAAAAACCTCGGACGATGCGCTGTCATCCTCAGCGTTGTCGTGGACAACATTCACTGGATGCGTCTCCGTTGCTGGGGACGGGCACGCTTGCCCCAGAAAGCGTTGCCTGTTAGAACTTTTCCTGGATGACTGGGCGTCCCTCTGCTTCGCATTGCACACTTTCGATAGATGTCCTCGCTTTCGGCAGTAGTTGAATGTAGTCTTAACGTGCTTGCAGCCGGACCCGAGGTGTCCGTGTCCGCAGCGGTAGCAGGTGACGCCCCTTGTTGGTGCTGTGACTCGATGCGTTGCGAATGCGGCGCTGCCGGAGCTCGTTTGGCAAATCTCCCCGGCGTCCCTCTTCGCCGCTTCCATGGCCACAGTGGTCTGCACAGCGTCCCCAAACGTCAAGTCTGGCCGTTCCAAAAGTCTGGTCTGGATTGCAGTGCTGTTAATCCCACAGACTACACGGTCCCTCAGCATGTTTTCAAGCTCAGCTCCAAAGCTGCAGTGCTCGGACAAGTTTTTCAACGCTGCGACGTAGTTGCTCACAGACTCCCCGTCGGCGCAAGCACGGGAGTTGAAACGGAAGCGCTGGACGACGGCGGAAGGCTTCGGGCAGTAATGGTTCCTGAGAACGGAAAGAACCTCATTCAGACTTATCTTGAGGCTTGGCAAGCTTGACCAGGTCCCGAAGAAGAGCGTACCTCTTCGCACCACAGCAACTGAAGAAGATGGCCTGCCTCTTAGCCGTGACGACATCGCTCGCCGAAAAGAAAGCTTCTAAACGCTCGACGTAGGACGGCTAGTCCTCTCCCCCCCCTTCAAAAGGTTCAATTCTGCCGAAGGTTGGCATTGCGAGCAGAACTAGCCCGAGCAGAATGATTCGCGAACTAATCACTCGCAAGGAGCCGTGATGAACTTTGTACGAAGAACAATACTTTTCCCTCGTCGCCACTGTTACATGTGTAAACCGAACTCGCTTCCCACCGGCCAACGTTCGTCGGAGGCAAGAAGCGGAAGCATGACACACATAGTATGGTTCCAACACAACACTAACTGAGGGAGCCGTGTGGTCCCGTTTAATATAGAGCGCCGCACTTCCAGACATCGTCACACTAGGACGCCAGGGGACCTTGTGGCGCTACATGCTGGCCAGGAATGTAGCATTAACGCACCTTTAATGCATTTAACAGATCAGCCAAAAGATGTATTATGCATTGTTTTTGTTTTTCTTACTTGTTTGTTACTGTTTCGACCGCTGAAGGATTGAAGGACAGCGCTGTAGTTAAGTTTAGCCAAGGAGGATATAAAGATTTGCTGGAGTGGAAGCCGCCTATGCGTACCCATGGGACCAGGTGAAGCCGCGCCGAGCGGGCGGCGGCCATCTTGCCGGTGGCAAGAAACGGCGGAGTACAGCTGCGTTCGCGCTTATTTGCGCTGCCGATTGAAGGTGCCCGCGTCTTGAAGACAATAAAAACAACTGCGTTGGGTTGTAAACATTGATTTTTTCACTTGTCGGTGGCCAAATGGCCTATGGAAACTCTTAGAAACACAAAAATTAGCAGAAACTACAAAATCACAGAAACATTAAAAATGAATACGAAAACACGGTCAAAATAGTGCACTGCAGGGACACTCTACTGGTGTTTGAAAATAATTACCCTCGAAATAAGTGGCCTGACCCTGTCCTTGAGTATCTTGCGGTTCCTTTCTTTATAGTCATGTGGTGGATGCGGATTTTAACATACAGCTCCGCCAACTTTTTGCACAAGCTGTATATGTGATTGTC